TTTAATGATTGGATCTCTGACCTGAATTCATTCCTGAGTTCTTGGATGTCTTTCCCTACCTCCATTAGGATGTTGATTATTTTTAGTTTGAACTCCCTTTCAGGAAGAGTCACGAGGTCCATATCATTTAAATCTTTCTCAGGAGTTGTATTAACAATTTTACTCTGGACAAGGTTCCTTTGGCGTTTCATGTTTGTATATGGCACGCTCTAGTGTCCAGAAGCTCTATTCTGGAGCTGCTGAACCCCTAAAGTGATGTTGGGGGTCGCAGGGGAGCGGTACTGGTGCCTGGGGGTAGGAAAGAGCTGTTCCCCACCTTCTGGCTGCTGTGCCTGTCTCCACTGCCTGAGCCAGTGGGCTGGTCATACAGGTATAAGTTTTTGTCCCAGAGCAGCCAGATATGGATCACTGCTTTCCACAAGCAGCCAGAATCCCAGTGTCCCCAGGAACTCTGCCTGTATTAACTTTCCAACCTGGTAGTCATGTGAGTCTCATGAAAGCACCATGAAATGTAGGTTTGTGCTCCCAGTGCAGGATGCCGGAGCTAGGTATTCAGCAGTCCTAAGTATTCCACTCCCTCCCTGCTCCGTTTCTCTTCCTCCCACCAGTGAGCTGGGGTTGGGGAGGGGCTCGGGTCCTGCAGAGCCACAGCTCTGGTACGTTACTCCATTCGGTGAGGTCTGCTCTTTTCTCCAGGTGTGTGCAGTGTGACGCCGTCCTCTTTCCTGTTGCTCTCTCAGGATTACTTGCGCCAATTAAATTTTCTAGTTGTATCCAGTTTTATGAGGAAGCCTCTGTCTCTCCTTTCATGCCGCCATCTTTAATCTTTATTACATTTTTATATTTATTTTTGTAACATTTAAAATTAAAATAACAAATTTTAAGTTAAAACCATCAATAGATATTGAAACTCTTAACTCTGTGTGTGTATGTGTTTAGTATATATGTATTTATCAAATTGGTCTCAAAAGGAGAATGCAACATCATTTTCCAATGTGTAATCTTAATTATAATGGTACCCTTTCAGTAAATTATTGTTGAATGAACGAACATATAATGTATTTATTGCTATCATTATTGGCTTCACTATATTTCTTTCTAAAAGTTCCTTTCACCCTTTTCTGTCTTGAAAGTGGAGGCTGTTCTGAACAATGTGCATTAATTATAGAGTCAAGGTAGAAAAAAATGTTTTTTAAGTGTTGTGTAGTTATACTTCTTGTTGGAGCTGTGGTAGGGTAGGTGGTAAATAACACCCCTCTTTACCTCCTGAGTTGAGAACACAGGAGTCAGGTAGATGAAGAGACTTATGAGTTTCATTACTAACACATACTAACGTATTAGAGGATGTATTTAAAATGTGCAACACGGCAGGCATCCCAACACTTCATCCCAGATTTTCATCCCACTTCCCCACGCAGTTGTAAATGGAGGAAACAAATGCCTGACACCTGTCACAGGCACAGGCTACTTACTGCAGAGAGCAGGCCCAAATTCATGCTCCTGTGGGCAAACACATCTTATCAAAGAAGAGTTTCAGAACTGAGTACATGCTGCTTAGTTCCTTTTCTCAGAATCACCCATTGTGAGGAGGTAAATCTCGCCTCTCATGAAGAAGATAGAGTGCAATTCTTCACATGGAAAATTAAGGCCAGGGAAATGCAGGTTCTCCTAAAATTTCTGACTGGATTTAAATTATAATTGAAATTAATCATGTCTTTGTACATACCAACTGATCATGAGAAGTTGGACAGAAAATATGCCAGATGGTAAAGAAATGTGTTTCATTTCAAATTTTGCTATAAGCAACCCACCACATGGATAATTTACTTGTTGGTTGATTTTGGTAAACAAAATTTTATTTGGAGGAAATGAGTAATTCTTTTAAAGAAGAATTTCCTCAATTTCAGTTTCCTTGATCCAACTAAAGACTTTGGTCTTCAAGGTCCCTGTCTTGTGATTTAAAAAACCGTGTCTTACAGATTGAGTATACTGGCTGCTAACAGGAGTTAGGATATTAATTTCTCTTGCTTTATTTTTATTCATGACTCTAAGACTTATAACTTAGTTGTAAAGCTATTTTGTATCTCTAGCCAAAACATTACTGGGCTATGTGACAAGGTTTTACATATTTATTTTCTCTGAGTTACAGTTAGAAATCTGTATTTTTTTCTGAATTTGAGGAACTCGCTGTTGTAAAACTCTAAGCTCATTAGGATGACCTAAAGCCTATATTTCTGGCCTGCACTTCATTGGTTTTTGTGACATTAGGCAAGCTATTGTGTCACTGAGCTTTTTTTGCCTCCTGTGTAAAAGTAGGGACTTTGACTAGATCAGTGCATTTCCTACCTTAAAAATTTTTTTTGAAACAATAGAGGGTTTCTTTAAAAAAATAAAAAATTACATCAAACTATTATATAAAACAGAGATAAGGAGAGCTGTCCAGCTAGAGAGATGGTGTGGCAGTGTCCCCAGTGGAACCTTAGATTTCTAAGAACATAGTTTGAGGACCAGCAATTGTGAGAAAATCCTTCTAATGAAAAATCTTTTGCATTAAATCTAGCTGATACTTTGTTTTCTTGTGTATAATTTGCTCCCTTTTCTCTGTTTTTAATAAATGGAAAAGTATAAATAAAATTGCAGATGTATTCTCCTGCTTAACAGACTTTGAGCTACTTCCACCATCAGAACACAGTCCTTACCCAGAAATCAACATAAAGGTCAAGGAAGTAAATATTTAGGAAAAGAGATTTGGGAAAATGTAATTTATGTTGGTATTTGGTAGTTTCTCTATTTTTCCTTTCTTCGAGCAGATATTCTGAAATCTTTGTGTCCATATGAATAAAAAGAGATTTTGTAGTCAGAGTACAGATAGAAAAATGATTTTACTTAATTTTTTGTCAGAATTTTTACATGACATTGTTACGACAATCCCACTTTCTTCATTTTATGTATTTAAGATCCTGTGCTAAAAAATCAATAGCACAGATTATACCTTAAGATTTTAATTTTCTAAAAGTATAAGAATAGAAAGCCCTTTTTAAGGAAAAATTCATTAGATTAAAAAAACTGATTAAGCTTTTATACAGAGCAGTTTTTCTAAGAATTGCAAAGTAATGCAGTCAGTGTATATGACTTGAGTTGTTTAAATTTCTTCTTACCAGTAAGATCGAATATCACCTTTCTGAAATTACATATATTCAACACACCAATATTGTACTTTTTGTCAGATTAATCAAAATAGTATTACAGATGTTATCTAAAATAGGAATTTATTTTATTCATGTGATTATTTTTCCATTTAATCCCCAAGTTGTCTAGTCTCTAAAAGTATTATTTAACGGCTATATTTCATCAGCTATCACTTACATGATAATGTGTTGTTTAACTTAAAAATTACAAATAATATTTGGCTTATTTCAGATGAAGCAGGAATTGGAAGAAAATGTAACCAGAGAACTAAAAGAAGGTATGTTACCAAAATTTATTAATTAAACTTAGATGTCATTACTTTCTGAAGAGAACTCTGAATAGTAAATAGAAACCCTTTCCATTGTTTGGATAATAGGTATTACATTAAATATTTGTTTCTTATATATATGTAAGGAGAAAAGGTGAGCACATAGCTATTAATAGTGAAGAATATACTTCTTCCTTATTTGTTCAGCATGTTCCATAGCTTTTTAAAAACCTCAACACATCCGTGGATCTGTTACTTTTGGCTGTACCTTTCCTTTACTCCTGCTATTCCTTTAGAACTCTCATCCTGCACTTCTCTGAACACATGGGCTTTGTCAGCTTCTCATGTCTCTGGTAGTGATTCAAGGCCAAAATCTAAGACTCATCTACTAATAGGCAATTACAGTTCAAATAAGTGTCACTTGAAGGGTGACATTTAAATCTACAGCTATTGGTTTTACCTTTTTAGTCTCAGGAAAAATTCCAAAACCAAATACCTTAGCAAGGAATAAAAACACCCAAATCAAATTTGGTGCTTGCCAAATCCTTCAGTGTTATCTCTTGCTGCTTACCTTACTCTGCCCATTTAAGCTAGCATGTCACCAAAAGTAGACTACTTACAATTCCACAACTGTTCTTCCTCACCTCTAGCTCTCTTCTTCCCTCTCTCTGGCACATCTTTCCCTTGTCCTACAGGTATCAATTTATATGTCACCTTCACCAAACGACGAATACTGACATAAAACCGGGATGTCCCCTCTGTGTGTTCTAATAGCACCCTGTTTTATACCTGTCATGGTATACCTGACTGTATGGGATCTGCTTGTTGGTCTGTTTTTCTGGTTTATAGCATATGGTTGTCATGGTGAACTGTGTCATCTATCTTTTACAGTTCCCTCTTGTAATAAGAAAACCAGAAGCTCTGATACTTGGCCACAATAGGAATTAATTGTGTGTAACCATGGGCAAGTTATATTTCCTAGTAGTCTTGTATTTTGTACTGCAGTTGTATATAGATATTTTTCATTTTTAACACTCATAAAGGTCCCAACTTTTTTTACTAACTCACACATGTTAACTCTGAAGTATTTTATACAAAGGGTATAATTTTTTCTGTTTCTTTCCAGTTGCTGCTGAATTTGAATCTAAATCCTGTATAGCTGCTCCTCTAGGATCTATGGATGGGTTAACTCCAATTCAAGCTCTACTTTTGAAGATGTCACAGCACTATGCACAGATTTTGAGGAAAAATTATATGATCTGAAAGAAATGTAAAATGTACTTGTCTGATGGAGGGGAAAAAGATGGCTGGCAGAGAGAGAACTGAGGCAGAAACCACTTCCCAAAACCACATGTAACAAAAATACAGCAAATACAACTAATCCTGAAAGAGTGACCCGAAAGAAGACTGCAAGACTGCCTACATCTGGGGAAAAGAGAAGACCTCACAGAAAAGGGTAAAATAGCAAAGCCCCAACTCCACAGGACCAAGGCCTCCCCCAACCCAAGCTCACAGGTGAGAGAAAGAGAAATGGAGCAGGGAGGGAGGAGAAGCCCAGGACCACTAAACTCACACCCCTGGAGATTGGCTCTGGGAGCAGGAACCCACATTACATGGTACTCTGTTGGAGATTAGAGAGGTTGGAAAGCAAAGATGGGCAGAATACTCGGAGATACTGAGATACCAGCCACTTGGGGAGAACAGGAACCGACAACTGGCCACTCCAGGACAAAGGAAAGCCAAGCACTCTTAAAGACTTCCCAACAGCAAGATGGGTGCTAAATGGGCAAGGATTGCACAGACCTTGCTGCTAAGGAGAAAGGACCGATGGACTAAATCATTCCTGCACACTCAGTCCAGCAGGATAGAAACATTCAGGACCATCAGATGCTCCATCCTCCTGGCTGGCAATGCAGTGCCTAGGCAGACCACTGTGATAGGCAGCTTGCCGCTCATTCCTCCCAGCAGGCACAAGTCTGCACACCTGATGCCACGACTGCACTGGGTCAGCCAGAGGGCAGCCCCACCTAGGGTACCTACAGGGGCATAACACAGAGAGGTTCCTCCCTCCATGCTCAGCCCACTGGACCTGGCAGTGGATGCAGGCACCACAGCCAGGAAGCATGAAAGAGCTTTTTGCCCCTGACAGGAGTGACCACTATGTACCTGCGACCCTGCCATCGCTCCAAATACGGGGTAGATCCAGGGAGCAGAGCTTCTGGGCACTACAGGGTGCCACCTTCACAAAGTTATTATTCCATAGTGATCATTAGAATTATTAAACAGCAAAAGAATTTTGTACAAAGCAGGATCCCTCAAACACCAGAAAGAGGGCTTGGTTAAACTGAAATCACCTATCTTCTTGATAAAGATTTCAAAATAAAAAGCATAAACATGCTCATGGAGCTACAGAAAAATATTCAAGATCTCAGGAACAACTTTGAGAGAGAATTCTGAAAAATACAGTATCTGAAATGAAACGCACACTGGAGGGATTTAAAAGCAGATTAGCAGAGGTACAAGAGAACAGGAATACAGAGAAGCTGAGGCAGAGAAAAAAGGTTCTACGAATGAAAGAATAATAAGACAACTCTGTGACCAATCCCAATGGAACAATATTTACATTAAAGTGGTACCAGATGAAGAAGAAGAGAGAAAAGGAATAAAAGCATTTTTGAGGAAATAATTGCTGAAAACTTGCCTAATCTGGAGAAGGAAATAGTTGCTCAGGCCATGAAAGTGCACAAATCTCCCAACTCAAGGGACCCTAGGTAGACAACACCAAGACATATAATAATTTAAATGGCAAAGATCAAGGATAAGGACAGAGTATTAAAAGCAGCCAGAGAGAGAAAAAAGATCACATACAAAGGAAAGCCCATCAGCAGACTTCTCAGCAGCAAGCTTACAGGCCAGAGGGAGTGGCATGACATACTTAATGAAATGAAACAGAAGGGCCTCTAACTGAGAATACTCTACTCAGAAGGATTATCACTTAAATTTGAAGCAGGGATTAAACAATACCCAGATAAGGAAAAGTTGAGGGAATTTACCTCCCACAAACCATCTCTACAGAGTATTTTAAAGGGACTGCTGTAGATGGAAGTGCTCGTAGGCTAAATAGCTGTCACCAGAGAAAATAAAACCACAGGAAAGGAAGTAGACTAATTAATTACTAAGAAAATGCAAAATTAAATCAGCTACCCTAAAAGTCAGTCAAGGGATACACAAGGACTACAGGATATGACACCTAACATAAACAGAGTGGAGGAAGAAGAAAAAGGAGGAAAAAAAAGAGCCTTTAGATTATGTTTGAACTACTGTAATGAGCGGTATCTGGTATCAGAAAATTGTTTTTTCTCTTAGTATTTAAATAAATAAAATGCAAATGAAGAATGTAGGCAGTTGTGATTGATTACAAGCAGTTGGGGGTACTAACCCTTAGGGATAACTATTTATATCCTATTCCAAAGTCTTATTTACACTCTGAAAAGCACTTTGCACACAGTTCTTATATATACAAGTAAAAATGTAATTATAGGCTATAGCGTTACTACTTTGTTTTACCAGGAACCTCATTTATAATTTAAAATTGACAGCTATGGTATTTTTTTTTAATGATCTACTTCTTTTCTGTTTCTTTACTGTAAAACTAAGTTAACCATAAAAGGTTAATGCGAAATGATATGGCTTTTATTACTTGTTTCTGTTAGAAGTGCACTGATTATATACTAAGGTTTAAGTGAGAATAAAGAGTAGGACTTCATATAAAGTAAGTGAGCTGTTTTCAAAATAAAGCCATGCTTTTCCACAGAATTTTGTAAAATCAGAAACTGGAATGAAATTTAACTTATTTAGGCATTTGGTTGAGAATGTTATTAATCCAAGTCAAGATATTGGTTTCAGTTCTTTTGCCAGCTTCCCACAGAGACACAGCGTACCTCTGATCAGCCATCATAAATGCACACAGTTGGGTTTAGGTGGCAACTGGTAGTGAGAAGGTTTTATGTCTTTAATGCAAATGTATTACTTGTGACTTCTATAGATAATGGTAAAAGCAATGTTAGCTATTTCTATCATTTAAGATATCGGTGTTCTGCTGCATGTAATTGAAACCTAACCTCAGTGGCTTGATCACCTAAGTTTTGTTTTTTTTCTCATATACAAGAAGTCTGGAGGTAGAAAGTCTAGGGCTGATAAGGTGCTTCCAGAGTGGCATTAGGGACACAGTCACAAAAACATAAAATGAGCTACAAACCCAAGAAACTACATAGAGGAACCTTCCTTCTGTCCTACGATCTTCAGTGTGTGGGTTTGTTTTCGTGCATGCCAGATGGCTGGTGTACATCTAGGTCTGGTGTCTACACCCCAGGCAGGCCGAGAACCTTATCTGATCAGACAGCAGTACCTTTCTTGGAGTGCACACAGGACACTCCCTCCCATCTTAGAGCTGGGTCTCATAGTTATGGCTTTGTGTATAAACATATTAGAGAATAAAGTTATCCAGCTTACATAGATAACATTGTATAAATTTAATGTTGCCTATGCATGGTAGGGAAGGCCATATCTTTCGGCCATTAATGCCCCCTTCATAAGTTCTTTCTTGGTTTGCTTTTCTTTTGTTTCTCAACCCTTGTTTTCCTACTGACTTTGTGGCTCTTCATGAATCCTTCTTCCCAAAGATAACCCATTTTATAAACTGGAAAGTGACAAATGTCCTTTTCCTTTTTAGAAACAACTTTTAAATACATACATAATGCAGATGAGGATGTAGCCACTGCTATTGTCTTATTCTGCCTAGCATCCTTTCCTCCAGATACCACCACCCTCCCTTCTGTCCCCACCAACGCCCCCTTTGGAGGGCTCACCTTCCTCCACTAATCAGGGGAGTCCAGTCATGCCACCAAAGGAAGCTGAGCTATGCCCGTTCCTGCCATGGTAGCGGGCATGTGCCAGTTCCAGGGATAGGCGTAGGACCCTAAGCGAGGCAGTCATAGTTATCTTCTGGGTTTATTTTGTGAAGCTAGGAGAAAGAGCATTTTGTTTTTCCAGAATGTTACATATTTAGGATCCCACAGGAAGTAGCGCTTGAAGATCGGCTTCTTTCACTTGACAAGCAACTGAGGTTCTCCATGTAATTTCATGGAAATGAAAGCTATGAAGCTCACTTCTTTTTTTTATTAAGGTATTATTGATACACACTTATGAAGGTTTCACATGAAAAAATGTGGTTATTACATTCACCCATACTATGTTCCCCCCATATCCCATTGCAGTAACCACCCATCAGTGTAGTAAGATATCATGGAGTCACTATTTGCCTTCTCTCTGCTACCGTTTTCTCCATGATCACACACCATGTGTACTAATCATAAACCCCTCAGTCCCCTTCTCCCTCCCCTCCCCTCCCCTCCCCTTTGGTAACCGCTAGTCCCTTCTTGGAGTCTGTGAGTCTGTTGCTGTTTTGTTCCTTCAGTTTTGAAGTTCACTTTTTTATGGCTGCGTTTCAAAAAATACCACTTAAAAAATAAGTAGGGAGCCAGATTTGGCCCAAGGGCTATAGTTTGCTGACTCCTGGTTTAGGCTTATCTCTTTTTAGCACTGGATAATATTTTACTGCATGGATGTACCAGTTTATCCATTTATCTATTGAAGGATATCTTGGCTGCTTCCAAATTGTAGCAGTTTAGCTGCTATAAACACTTGGGTGCAGGTTTTTGTGTGATCAAGTTTTCAAACTCATTTGGGTAAACACCAAAGAGCGTAATTGCTGGAATGTGTTTCTTTTTTATGAGCAACTTGCCAAGGTCTTCCAGAGTGGCTGTGTTGCTCTGCATTAACACCAGTAATGAGAGTTCTTGTCCAGTCTTGTCAGTATTTGGTTTGTCAGTATTTTGGAGTTCAGCCATGTGGATGGGTATGCAGCGGTATCTCATTATTGTTGCATTTTCTTCCTCTCTGAATTATAGCCTGTAAGGTTACTACGTTAGAGATTCTGGGGCCACACATCCTGCCACTTGGAGGAATCTTAGATAATAAGGACCACATCTAGACCTAGGAATTTAGCCAAGAGTCAGGAACACTGGGTTCAGGTCCCTTAATCCAGTTAACTCTGAAAACCCTACCCATCTCTTTATACAGTTTGTTTACATGGGTTAACAAATTTCCCTTCTTTGTTAAGGTAGTGTAAGTTAGGTTTCTGACACTTGCAGCCAGAGTCCTGACTTGTATAGAGAGCTCTTGATTCTCGGGACTGAGTGCAGGCTCTGGAGGGGCAAATCGAAGGTCCACAGCACAGCACCCTGCCTTCACCTGTGGCTGGAATCCCTTCTGCCTACCCTATACAGAGAAAAAATAGTCCAGTATTTGGCATGAGTCGGGGAGGGGCAGTCAGAGGGTGTGTGCAGCTGGGGAGGGACCTGGGAATCTGCTTTGTGACTGGAATTCAAGTATTTTAGTCCCTTTCACTCTCTGAGATGTTCTGGCATCCACGCCTGAGACTGTGCCTTTGGGACGCTGTTCACTGGGAATTGGATCGACTTGGCACTCTCCAAGACTCACTCATGATTTCCTTTCCTAGGTTTTTCACTACTCCCCCATCATTCACCACCTCCCACAGCTCTGCTGTGTGTCCTCTTCATTCTCACTGTGTGTGGATTGTTCCAGTTACTCTGGCTGGATAACAAGTTACCCCAAAACTTGGTGGCATGAACTAGCCATTTATTGTGCTCATGGATTGTGCGGGTCCAGAGTTTGGACAGGGCACAGCAGGGCTCCACGGTATGTGTCGATGCAGGATGGGGTCTGGAGCCATCTGAATGCACGCCCAACTCATGCCCGGCAGTATCTTCGTGGAGGCCAACTGGAGGCTGACATAGCTGGGGTTCCAAGGGCATCTCTGTGTATGTGTCTTCTCCGTAGTCTTTCCAGTATGGTGGCTTCAGACTAGCAGGGCTTCTGACATGTCAGCTCAGGCTCCCGAGGTGGACGTCCCAGGAGAGAGCCAGGCAGAAGCTGTGTTCCCCTTTCTAACCTGTGATACCATTTTCTCCATTAGAAGCAAGTCAGTAAGGCTGGTCCACATGCAAGAGAATGGGAATTAGATTCCACTTGTTGTGGAAATAATGCCACAAAATTTGCAGACACACTGTAAAGCTACCATGTTGGTTTGTCTTAAAAAATGCCACCCTTTTTAGAGGGGTTTCTTAGTCTAAAGAAAGCTGTATGTATTCAAATTCACCATCACTATCTAGAAGTCTAACTGGGTTCTTGAATTCTTTATTTGGATGTCTCACAGACATATTAAACTTAATGTGCCCACCAATCCTGCCCCTCATTTTCAGGGTATAGCACCACTATTGACCCAGTTGCTCAAGTCAGAAACTAGGTGTCAGACTTGGTTCCTCCAGTCCTATCATCCTCCTCCTACCATCCATCAGGAAGTACCATTGATTCTACCCCTAAAATATATCGAGAATCCAGGTGGGCTGGTTCAATAGCTTTCTACAGTTTCCCTCTTTCAAATACTGCCCTGACCAGTACATTTTCCACACAGTTACAAGAATGACCCATACATGGCTGGTTTGGTATGAATTGAAAGGAGACCTGGTGGAGACAGCACATGTTTGCACAACCTTTTGGACTCAGCATGTTTGTAATTGGCTAACAATCAGGTCTTTCTGGCAAACTGAGTGACCAGACCAGAATGTCCTTCAGGATGCTTTTGAAGAATAATGGCAAGGTTTTATGTAGTGACCCATTTCCCAAATCCCAAATTAAGATAAATATGCTTAGAAGTAGCAGAGTACTTAGGGTTCAAATAATGATCACTTATGAAACCCCTTTTAAGTGAGGTATGTACTTCATCCTGTTTAATTCTGACAGAGGTCGCCAGTGTGAATAGCTGCCTTTTCAAACATATTTTCTGCAGTTAACATTTAGTGGAGGTGGGAGAAAATCATTTTCTGTTAATAAAAATTGTGTAACACAACAGATGCACAGATTCCTGCTGGCAGAAGCAGTGAGTGCTCTTTAAAGGCTTATGTTTATCCACACGCAGACACAGCTCTCAGGATCAGTCCCATTTTCTGCTGTTATTATTCTGTCGCAGGTTTTCCTTAGCAAGTGTCTGAACCCACAGCTTGGCTGGTGTATTAGGGTTTAAGTTTAGTTAATAAGTCACTTGCTCCCTGTAAACACCCTTACAGCACGCAGCATTCCAGGTGACTACTGAGGCAGACCTAGGTCTGTTTAACTGCAAACTTTTTCATTTTTCCACTTAAGGTTCTTGTACTGGGAATAGGCTCGCTCACTGTCCATTTCACCCAATTATTTAGTAATGTTACAAGTCCCTGATAAGGTTGGTGTCCTGGACAGTCCCATTAAGGAATCTGCGAAAGGGAGAATAGTATTTAATAGATTTGCAGGAAATTTACATTTGAACGTTGTTCCTTTGGAGGGTAAAAATGCTGAAAGCCTCAGTGAATTCCAGATGGGAGCCATGGAGCCGAATCTGACAGTGTATATATAAAAGAATGATGTTGACAGGTCATATACTTGACACATGTTACAACTTACTCATTTAAGCAGATTATTTTTTTTTGCTAAGATCAGGCTGTCTCTAGTAATGCTGCATGTTCTAGACGAATTATTTTAAAGATGTAAGCCATTATGTTTTTCATTAAAATTGAACAAGCTGTTAAAATTGCTACAGCGCATCATACAGAAGCTTCCCTGTACTATGTTAAACAAACAGGTATTGCAGAGAAAGCACCAGAGCAGTCAAGGCCACAAAACTATATTTGTAGTAAAGGAACCTAAACCTTAGTCCTCTGTTTATTGCTCATTCCCCAAAAGAGTTATACTTCTGAGTGATGGCATTTTCCAGTCACAATTTTGAGCTGGAAATCACAATTGCAGCCTTCAATGACTGCCCTCATGGCTACCGTACACATTGTATTAAAATAAAACCATATGATTTTGTTCTTTTAACACTAAACTGAAGGGTTGACTGAAATCAACAGAAGTGAAAGAAAATCAAGCTCAAGTTCACGCTTTCTCTAACAGATGGTGTCATTTTACTTTGATTGATACATTAATTTCCATAAAGTGCTGTAACAAAATAAGATGAAAATAGCTTTGGAAGCCTATATACAGCTCTGAGAACAAGATAACATACTGGTTATATTCTTGATAGCCTTTTAACTCTGTGGAAGAAGTTACATTAAAATTTCACTGATCCAGGTAAATTAACGATCTTCTTCTCTTAGATCAATCTAGTATTAAGGAGTATGTAAACTTGATAGCTTATTCAATAAGATAGGTTAGATTAAAGGGAAAAATGTATGTGTTATAGACTGAATCCAGATACGGTCAGGTGCTGAGCATTATTCCTGGCTTCGAAATAGGATGTATCTGTTTCATCATCTGGCTGAGGTACGAAAGGCATAGTTTGATGCTGCAGATTTTCCCAGTCTACGTCACTGAAGAGAGGATGATGTTTTAGCTCTTTGGAAAAATACAAAACAAAACCACATTACGACAATATCACTGAAGTAATTAATGTTCTACAGGAATTAGGAAGAGAGTATCTCACGTATCTCGCCCTACTTTATTAATATAACAGCATCACAGACATTTATTTATTGTCTCTGTATTCAACCACATATTTCACAACAGCACACACACTTGTCAGTCATTCTGTGTATCACTTTGCACATGACAGGTGCCTGGTCTGTATTTGTCAAACGAGTGAATGATCTGCCTTAAGAGAAGTGTAGCTTTCTCAATGCCTCCATTTTCTCACACAGTCCCTGACTTGAGGTAGAAGAGAGCTTGGCTCACTTCCTGCTCCCCCATAGAGCCTCCACACCACTGATCTTCCAGGATAAATGTCCCATTTCTTATTCCAAGGCCTTGACACACCTTTGCATCTCTGCAATCCTTAGCACTATCTATTGCCCTAGAGAACGTTAGTAGGAAATTCGTCCCCTACCCCGCCGCCTTCCCTTGGCTCCATCCTTCTTCACGGTGAGCCCAGCATGCACACTGAGGACTCCTCTGACACAGACTCTTCGTGGGTCTCTGGCTTCTGTGGCTTCATGCACTTGCGGTTCTATGACACACTGACTATTCAGCAGTCTGGCTACACAGGACTGCTTCCCTTAAAAGACCTCACCTCTGCTCACCTGTTTAACTACATGTTCAGTACCTGGCGTCTTTCCTATTTCCTTCCACCTGCTAAATGAAAATACACTCTTTTGGTCATATGTGATATTTAGTTGCTAGACATAAGCTCGTCTCTCCTCAACCCTTCACTTCACAAGACAATGATAAAGATATTGGCCACATATTAAGTGACAATTAAAGCATTAATTAGTTCGAAAAAAAAACCTCATAAAAAACACAACCAAATTTACTGATCATATTGAGAGAAGACTACACAGGCAGGGAAGAATTATGTACTGGGGGCGACAGGTTGGCAACCAATGTTCACAACTTGGTTCTTCCTTCAACTAAAAGACTGGTTGTGATAAATGATCAAATAGCAAAAATAATTTACATCCAGAGAATCTGTCTCCTAATTGTTCAAAATAAGTAACTGAGCATGGATTACTTTAGAGTTACTCATACCAGTGACCAGTAACTCTTAAACTGTGATATCTCGATGTGATGTGATGTTCTATGACCCTCATCATAACCATTTATTTAAACTGAACTCAAAGGAATTTTAATTCTAGTTTAAGATGAACTAAATAGTTGCTGGAGCAACTGTTTAACTGAAGAATACCCCTAGCATCTGGTTCACTCTGTAAACTGTTCATTAAACAAACAAATCTGAGGTCATTGGTAAGAATGCATTTCTTCTGTCTCTACTTACTTTGAGCAAACGATAGTACATTAGAGCCATTCTGTAAGCAACAGGTTCTCAGCGTGGGCACAATGGACATTTGGGCCTGGACGACCGTTTGCTTTGGGCCCGTCCTGTGCATAGCAGAATGCTGAGCAGAATCCCTTACTGCTACCTACTAGGCGCCATCAACAGCTGTGACAACCAAAAATGTCTGTAGACAATGCCAACTGTCCTTTGGGGAGCAAAACCACGCCACTTGAGGACCACTCTTCTAAATTAATTTTTAGAGCCGAGTTTTCAAATGTCTGCACTCTGACTTTACACAGGCTTTTTTCCTCAAATCCTACTCTGCCCAGAGGTCTTCCTGGCCATTCCCTGTCAAAACTCTCCTGCCACCGCTTCACATCCTCTGACCTGGTTTCTTTTTTCATAGTACTCACCACTAGATGGCAGTAGGTCACGGTAGTATTTGTTTACTAAAGTCTTCCTACTGGAAAGACAGTTCTAGGAGCACAGGGATTTGAGTCGGCTATCTCTAGGATACACCCGCAGCAACACTGCCTGAAACCTAGCAGTCATTCTGTGGGATCTGTTAAGTAAATCACTAAACTGTGGATCTTACTAGAGGGAACACCTTGAAGCTGATCCAAGTGACACATAGTGAAAGCTCATTTTTCTGTATGTACAAAATCATTTCTACTTCACGTGGGATATATTTACGACATAATGCTTATTTGTCTCTCTCTATATATGCCTTGTTAGAAAAAAGGATTTTAAGGCAGCTGCTAATGAAATTCACTCGTTTCAAAACTGGAGTTTTATGTACCCCCTGCTTTGGAAAAAATCATTGAATGGGTCACAATGTACCAAATTTGTCTTATTTGAGGCAACCTGGCACTTGATATATGTGTCAACCAATAATGGCATCAGAAATGAAGCAGTAAGAAATAAGAGAAAAGAGTTTTGATAAAAACATTTGCTGTATTTGTCAATGGTTAATTTTATCTGGCTTTGAAAAACCTACAACATTGACAAGATAAGATTGTTTCAGGTCCCTGCTTGAGATCAGTAAAATTCAATGAGCGAATATATCACAACCTGAACGCAGTAAATCCCATCTTAATGCAGAATAAGGGCAAATATATCAGTGTATACCTAGAGGGCAAAAATAAACTAAAAAATTTTTTAGCCAATTTTGCAGTCAGCCATCTGTAGTACTGTACTAGTATGTGATACCATTATTAATATTCACCCCTTGAAACAAATTAAGGGTAAATAAAGAGTTCATTTCAAAACAAAAAATTACCTTTCATTCCAGCTCTCATTGTATCATCAATGGTTAAAAGTATTTCTACTGCACTCTGAGCATTTTCAGATAACTTTTCTTCACCTGCAGGCCAAGGGATATCTACAAATACAAATAAGCTTGTTAACCAGTGTTCAGGACAATAATACACAGAGGTAAAAGAACCTATCTTAATAGAAAAGGAATCACCTCTTTTCAGAATATTCTGGAACACTTGTTGTGGCGTTTCATCATTGAAAGGGGGAATTCCTGTTAGAAACTCAAACAAGCAAACTCCAAGTGCCCACCAGTCCACTGCAGGACCTGGAATTTAAGAGGAAGAAGTAGCTGAGCTTGCAAGCATAATTTACAAACGTTTGATCAAGGCATTCATTTCCTCAGACTTTCTTTTAGCTTCATAACATTCAAAAAGCCAAATTACCTTCCTTTAAGTAATGTGGCAATTACTTTCCTTCTGTTTTCCAAGACGTAGCATTTACACAGCTGGTTAAAGAAAAATTAAAGCTATCTTTTTTCACTTATTGATAACCTCTGATGTTATGCTTACTTATTCTAAATCCTAAAACATAAGCAGGAAATGTACTTAATCTACAGACTCTTCTCTAAAATACAGTACTTCTCAATTTCAAGTCAGGAAACAGTAACGTTTAGATGATTCTGTACACTGCTTGTTCACAAAGGTATGAGATAAGGTAGGAACATCTATCCTAATTGGAGGATACGTGGTAACTTAGGGAAAGCCTTACACTGTTTTAGTGTAGTTTTGCTCCTTTTAGGAATATGGACAACTTCATTTAACAAAAAATATTCACTTAAACTATGGTTTGAGGAGGTAACTAGGAGATAGGTCTTAATAGTAAAACTGATTTCTAAATAAAATCTTTATCGGAAGTACCCTTCATATACAAAGATGTTTAAACAATTACTCTAAATATGACCGTATAATCTGGTTTATGCTTTCGTTTAGTTCTATGAGTGAAGCGTTTCCTAAGCAAAGGTTAATTTCAGTCTAAAAATGATTAGCTTCAATATAAATTAGAATAGGAATTCCAGTCTAGTATTATAATTTCCTGAAAATTAGTCTTTAAAATCAATTTCACAAAATTCATGACTGTGGTTAACCAGCTGCCACCATTCCATTTTTAAAATAGGTAGTTTTAAAGTTTGGAATCTGCATTGTGAAATCTGCCATTAGGAAAAAGAATTGCATGCATTTAGAGTGCCTTTTCCCATCCTCCCTAAGAAACACAAGATGCAAGAGTCTATAGGCTTCTATTACTAGAGTAATCAGTATAAGAACATATGAACCACTTCAGTTAGTAGACCTTTAAAGCAGCACTGAGAAAGAGTTATCCCACTGGATTACATAATATAACTGCATAACAAAAAAGTAGGAAGAAATCAGGACAAAAATATATTTTTATTTATTTTGCTTATGTTAGAAATTAGGACCCTTTTCCAAGCTCAGCCAAAGTGTATGTATGTCAATAACATACATGATTTCTCCAAGCATCTGTCACACACACTCATACACTTGAGTCAAAGTCTTATAAGATCACATATTGTGGTAAATTGTAACAAATAAATATCATTAGCCAGAGAAACAGAACAAACTTGTCTTATACTATTGGTTTTCTAGTTCAAAAACCACTTCTGTAATTTGTACATTAATACTGTTTTACCTGCTATTTTCTAATAATAATGGAACAAAATGGTCCGGAAAAATCAAGCCCTTTTGTAGCTGCTAATTTTAACATTTTTATCAAGCCTATTTCTTAGGCTGCAATAAAAAATGCCATATCTTCATTCTCTGCTACCTTTATAGCATATACCTATATATGCTATAAAGAATTGTTACATTGCCTGTATTTGTTTTCACAGAGAACAACAACTTCTCTGGATGTCTTTCTGCTCAGAAGACATAAGATACTCATTTTTGTATTTCATGAGTGAGTTGAAAGGGAAAAAGCTTTTTATGCAATGTGATCTGGTTATACTTTGTTCAGTTTAATATGCTTTGTAGTATTATTTTAGGGAGATGCTCACTCACCGGAAGCCAGAAATCCTGCATTGACAGCAGTTAGGTACACTGCACTAACATGATGAGTTCATTGTCACACCACCCATTGTACTGGACACTAGGTGTTATGACAGATGTAAGGGATTACAAAGATGAGGACACAAAGAGCTTTCCCCAAGGAGCAAACGGCCTACTCTGAGACAATACAGATAACTTCAATACAGTGTTAAGAGAGACGAGACAGACATGTACATACACAAGAAGCTATGGGAAACTCAGGCCAGAGTTCCTCAGTCGGCTTGGCTGAGGCAGAGCACCAGCAAAGGCGTCAGAAGTCTCCGCACGATCTTTACAAGTAGGTCAACCGAAGAAAGAGAAGAGCTGAAGAGACTGTCCCTGGGGCCTGGAGTTTGGGGTAAGACGTAGCAAGGAGGGAACTATTTTTGTTTTTGTTTTCTAAATTGTTATTCTAAGTTTCTTTGCATTCTTTTTGTTTCAGAAGGTATATATCAAATTACTTTTATAGAAAATAAAAATTAAAAAATACACCACTGGATAGCTGAGGTAACTAGATGTCCCCCTAGAACAGTAACAAGTTGCTGTAAAGTAAATCTTTAAATATGAATCTTACTTTCACACTGTATCTATGTTAGAGAAATGGAAATTATAACACAAAGGAAATGAGTTGGCAAATCTGGGACTTGGCAAAAGGGACACTGCACAAAAACCAGTTACGTGCCCAGAGGACCCTACTTGTTTTGGCTAATACAGAAAGGTGAGTATTAAAGGTGTCAACTTTCAACACTGTGCAGATTATTCACAAGGCTTAGTGAGTGCTGCCAAGGAGTTCTCCTGCGTGCTAAGCAGAAGGAAAACTCACTATAGTCTTAAGAAATTTTCTTAAGCTTTTGTAGAGGGAACAAATATAACAACTAATTATAGGTAGAAAAATGTAAATTTCTTGAGTTTTAATAAAGTATGGAGTGAATAATTCTCCATAATTGATTAAGGCATGCTTTATGGAACAGGTGGCATTTGAACTGATGAGGAGATGAGGAGAAATCTGACAGGAAGACGACTGGGGACTGGCTTTTCTAAACAAAGTACATGTGTGCACAGTAAGGAAAATCTGTAACTAGATGTGTCTACAAAGTGGAATGGGAAGCCTGTAAAGAGCTTCTTTGAGAGACGAGGATGGTGTAAGAGCTAAGCCGCAGATGCCAAGGCCGGTAATCTGGACTTCATTTCGCAGGTAGGAAGGAGCCTCCGTGGTGTTTCAAGGAGGGAAGCAGCATGAACCATGTTACATATTAAGAGGACAAATTGGTGGCAGTGCTTACAGACAGTAAAATGACATTGAGGGGCCAGAAAGCAAGCTGTTAAATTAATGAAAAGGAGAGGTGAGGTTCCTATGGAGCATGTGGCAGAGGTAACACAGTGAGGACAGACACTGCAGAGCTGTAACTGACGTGACTTAAATGCTCAAATGAAGGGACAATGACTGTGTCACTACAAAGATGGTGAAATTGTGAGAGGTGCAAGCTAGACACAACCAGTGTAGTCCCGACGTTCAGCATCCCAGTGCCCAGAACACTGCTGCCTGGAGGAAGTCAGCAAGTCAGCATTAGAGGTAGATATCTGGGCACAATCCAGAGATATGACAAGTGGCGCCACGGGAGTGATGAGATTAACAGGGAGCAGGTGTAGGGAAAAAAGGCAGAGGGCAGGATCTTGAACATGGGTGTTTCGCAGAGAGCAGGGAGGAGCTGGAGCTGAGGAGAGCTGCAGGGCTAAGAGGAATGAGGCTGGGAAGCAGTTGGCCAACATGACCCTGAGGACACCACCGGTGACTGTTACTGATACAAACGTTTTCACGAAATGGTAACAACAGGACTGCCAGAGCCAAAATCATCAGGCAAAGAGAATAGGCAACCTTGGAGAGGTTAGGTGGCAAGAGGAGGACAAGTAGAAACTTATTTTCTGGCTAAAAAGGAAAGGCAGCAAAGGAAAACAGAACGTGTGGTGAGTGGGGAGGGAAAGATGAGAGAGATGGCCACCAAAGGAGCCCAAAGACAAGGGGAATAATGGACAGCAAGGTGGGGAAGAAGAGTTCCTGATGGGGTGAATTGTGTCTCCCTGAAAAAAGCAGGTGGATTCTATCTAACCCTGGGGTCCTCTGAACGTGGCAGTTGGAAACAGGAGCCTTGCAAATGTACCTCATTAGTTTAGGATGAGGTCCTACTGGAGGGGGGCTGGCGCCCTGGGCCAATACGCCTGGTGGCCGGGTGAGAACACAGCCACACAACCAGAGAGACACACGGGGAGCGCTGTGTGCAGAGGGGCACTGGGCGGTGCATCTGCTAGCCAAGGATGCCAAGATCCCTGGCAAACCACCGGAAGCCAGGGAGAGGCAAGGAAGGATTCCCCTGCAGCCTTCAAAGGGAGCACGGTCCTGTGGGCACCTTGATTTCAGACCTCCAGGTTCCAGGATGGTCAGGCAATACATTTCTGTTGTGCTGACCCACCCAGCGTGTCCTACTTTGTTACAGTAGGCCCTAGGAAACCAATACAGCTCGGTTCAGAATGTGGGCAGGGACAATTCTTCAGAGTGAGGGGGGAAAAGAAGGCAGGTGAAAAGGCCATCCTTTTATTCCTATACTGCATTTAGAATGATGGCTCATTTTGGGCTCAGCCCTGCTGGTGAGGGTGAAAGTGAGGGTAAGCTCTAAACAGGAAGAGGTTCTGCGGACCAAACCCAAATTTGGCCCAACTTGTCTGCAGGAGCCCAAAGTAGAGCAGACCTGAGAACATATTTAGGACAAAGATAACAGAGCAGATAGAAGGTAGGGCCTCTCTGCATCACTGAGACTGAACCAGAAGGGAAAAAAACAAATGGCTGCCTGTTTTCTTTTCCCAGAATAACTGCCATTTATATGAGAGAGGAATAGTCCACAAGTTCATTTTCTTTTACTTTAGGTAGTCTGAGTACCAAAGAAATATAAAACAATTTTACTTCAAAAAAAAAGCAAGTATAGTGATAGCAAATACTTAAAAACTCAGGACACACATGCCTTACCGTGGGCCCTGCCGAATAACAGCTCAGGTGCCAGGTAGTCTGGGGTCCCTAGGATTCGCCCATCCTCTACTGGGGCTGCCCCTCTTCTCACGCTCTTCGGGGTTCGGAATGGAGTTCCTAACTTGATTTGATTTGGGGTCTTCTAATTTAAAAGGAGTTTAAGAGGAAATAAACATCTTAAGACCTTTTATAGTGAACAGAAATGATAAAACCAAAGAAAAGCTAGGTTCCTGGGCCTTAAAGATATACTCAAATCCATGATCAGTTTGGAAAATAGACTCATAACTAATTATAATGAAGGAAAGTTCTGATATCTAATGAAATCAATAGCTTAGATAATACCAATTATTTCAGTAAGAAATAATGAAAACATGCAAGAAACAATGAAAAAAACCCACAAGAAAAATTTCTTGATAGCATGGATTAATACAAGCTTAAGGATGGTCACCAAGGGAGGCTATGGATGACAAATAATTACATTCTTATTACAACACATAAAATAGAACTACACATAAATAACCTCTTATGCTAACTGGCATTTAAAGTTTTGACATATTTTGCCTCACAGGGCTCTGCAAGACCAGCAGGACCAACACCGTTCTCTCTACAGACAGATGGGAAACTGGCTATGAAGGAGAGGGATTTCTAAGTCACTCACGAGGCTGTGCATAGAAAACCCAAGGCTTGTAACCCTATTATACTTTCTATATCATAATGTCTCTCCAAAGGAAAGAAAAAAGGAAACTTTGGGTTTATTAAAACAAAGGCTTAGAAAATAAAAACAAAATAAGATTTGAAATACACCTACTTCAACTCTTTTCTACAAAGACAAGAGACAATTTAAGTATGTCCTTAGAGGGCAGTGAAGTGGAGTGGACTTTAACTTTGTATCTCACAGAGTCACTGGGATCAAGTGAAAATACACGACTGTAATTATATAAACATGTGACTGAAAATATGTCAAAGTATTCAGAGCAACACAAATGAAGGCGGCATTGTGGTTAGGAATAAATATTACTGCCAGCTTTGCTTTTCTGCATTAAGATTTCCAACTATCCATAAATGCCCAGCAAGCAGAAAAACACGATTAATATATCATCTAGCTGAGAGGCAAGTGCCTGGCCTTAACAGTTTATTTTTCTGAATCCTAAAACACAGAGTGTTAGAAAGTTGTAACATACCTGATGTGGCATATAGGATCTTCCTTTTTGGATAGGGCTTACAGCCATGGGATAGGGGCCACTATAAGCACATGAAAGAGTCATTGCATCTGAAGAAGAAATATTCATTTTGGATGGTTCTGAGTTACTGGATGCATGAGTGTGACTGTTAAAACTTCGGAAAGCTACAGCATTTCTTTTAGAGAAGGCTCGTATTTTCAACCCCTCTGAAGAAGGAGCTAACATGTCTTGGTTACTGTCTTGGGCAGTAGGATTCTCATCACCTTCTTGCAAGGGACTTTCCTGGCATCTGGGTGATACGGTGAGTAGGTCTTCAATATTTGCTTCTTCAAATGAGGATTCTTTGATGCTTTTATCTGGATCTAAGGACTGCCTTTCTAATGGACTTCTCATTATAGAAATTCCAGGAAAAGATGAATCTGAGTCCACAGAAATACTTTTAGAGGCTCTATCATTATCAGAACATAGAAAACTAGAATTTGAGTAGCCCTTCTTCTTATGCTCGTTGCAGTCTTCATCCAGCTCACACATGAGGTTTTTGGCTATCCTCAGGATAGGTGATTTTTCTGGTGTCTGTTGTTTATCAGTAAAAGAACGAACCATTTTCTTATTAACACTGTCGTTTTGCTGACCTGTATATACCGATAGCTTAAGGTCCTGGACGTCAGTTGTTAAGCCTGTACTTTGATTTGCACAACAACCTCTCATTTCATTACTGTGATTATGCTCTGTACAATTTTTTTTATTCTGTATAATTTCCTGACAAGGACTGGAGTCAACTAACTCAAAATTTCTTTTCAAATTTCTTTTCACAAAGTGTTCCTCAGTCACACTACCAGAATCCACAGTCCATTGATTTGACTGGTGCAAACCAGACTGCTTTGTGTCAGTGTCCATCTTAATATTTAGATGCAGTTCTCTTGCTTCCCAAGAAACCTCTCCAGAGAAGTGTTTTTTGGCCAAGTTTACCAAAGCACTCCCAGCGGAGGGAACGGCACTGCTGTTGTGGATGGCAGAAAGCCCGAATCCAAGATCCTTCCTGTTGAAACTTTGGGTCTGGGTGGCATTTGTAGAATTTGGACATGAAGGCTTTTCAGTTGTATTCCAGCTCATCATTGTGGAGCCCAGTGTATTGTCACTTTCCTAAGGTGGGAAAAAACTTTTTAGTTATGTGAAGCTGAGATTCTTTTTTGTTTTTTACCTTTTTTTAAAATTGAAGTGTAGTTGATAAACAACAGTCTATTAGTTTCAAGTATACAACATAGTGACTTGACAGTTATCTACATTACTTAAAAAGAAAAATCCTCACCCCAGCTACTATGGTTACGGTCTGTCAACAGAAAGATATATATGTTGTATTTTCATTTCCGTGAATAATTTATATTATGATTGAGGTTTTGTGCCTCTCTATCCCCTTCACTTATGTCACCCTAAAGTTGAGATTCTTTAAACTTTAAAACCTCTATTGATTTAGGTGGGATAAAAGACTTCGTAAAATACTGTGCAACCCATTCCCACTTTTCAGTGGAACAAAAGAACGGTAACAGAATTAAAAAGCAATACAAATTAGTATACATTTATATACATTATTTTGAGTGAAACACTGGTTTAAAATTTAAATAAACTCTTTTATAATATATACTTCATAATGTATTACATGACATTTAAATAGAACAAAATAACAGGCAACATATGCAAACAAAATTGGTGATAAGATAGTATTATATGTGTATCTGATCTGCAAGGCAGGTATGGATGATTATTCTGAAATGCAAAATGCACCGGGCTTAAAATATAGTTAATGGGGGAGAAGCCAAGATGTAGAATGAGTAGGGCAGAGGAAATCTCCTCCAAAAATCATATATATTTTTGAAAATACAACAAATACAACTATTCCTAAAAGAGAGACGAGAAGATACAGTACAACAGCCAGGCTACATCTAGATATGCGAGAAGTCAGCACCTCACGAAGGGGGTAAGATACAAGCCGCGGCAAAGCGGAACCCGAGCTCCCCACAACCCGACCTCCCTAGTGGGAGGAAAGGAGTCAGAGCGGGCAGGGAGTGGAAGCCCAGGACTGCTAAATACTCAGCCCTAGTCATCTGCACTGGGAGTGCAGACACACAGCACGTGGTATGCTGGATGTTAGGGAAATGGAACAGTAAAATCTGCGAGCGGGTAACCGCAGCCGGCGCCCCCTGGGAGAAAAGACAAACGAGTGCTTTTTGAAAGCCTTAAAGGGACAGGGGCCTCACAGCTGGACAGAAGTGTCTGGGCACACTCAGCCCAGCAGCTGAGAACACCGGGGAAATCCGAGTGCCTTAACCCACTGGACAGCAGGGCAGCTCTAAGGCCCCACATGGCGATAAGCATTCCATTCCCCCTCCATGGCATGTCCATTCCCCCTCTGGCGCAGCCTTGCCATATCAGGGGAGTAGCCTGAGAATGGCCGTGCCCACAGCAAACACCCAGAGCTGTCTCCGCAGCCACCCGGGCCAGACTCAGAGGCCCCATCAGTGTGCAGCTGCCCAAAACAAGCCGCTAAGGGTCACCGTTCTCACAGGAGAGGAAGGCAACCAGCCAGCAAGAAGGGACTTTGTTCTGCCAGCTGACTCATGTGCCAACTGCCCACGACTCCCTCTATCGCCATGAAAAGGTGAAGAATTTGATCCAGACAAGAATAACCCAGACAACCCCCAGGAAGGAGCCTGGAGAGATAGATTTAACCAATCTTGCAGAAAAAGAATTCAAAATTAAGGTCATAACCATGCTGATGGAGCTGCAGAGAAATATGTAAGAGCTAACGGATAAAGTTGGGAGGGATAATATAGAAATTAAACAATCTCTGGAAGGACATAAGAGCAGACTGAATGAGGTGCAAGAGGACATTAATGGAATAGAAATCAGAGAACAGGAACACAGAGAGGCTGAGGCAGAGAGAGATAAAAGGATCTCCAGGAATGAAAGAATCTAAGAGAACTGTGTGACCAATCCAAATGGAACAATATTCGCATTATAGGGGTACCAGAAGAAGAGAGAAAAAGGGATAGAAAGTGTATTTCAAGAAATAATTGCTGAAAACTTCCCCAAAGTGTGGGAGGAAATACTCTCTCAGGCCATGGAAGCCCACAGA